GGTATCCCTGTTTTACATCCGAGGCCATGCACTTCCATAACCAATCTCTATAGGTTGGGTTCTTCAGTGCATGCTGTTTGCACTTTTGAGGGAGGAAACATGGTATCCCTGTTTTACATCCGAGGCCATGCACTTCCATAACCAATCTCTATAGGTTGGGTTCTTCAGTGCATGCTGTTTGCACTTTTGAGGGAGGAAACATGGCATCCCTGTTTTACATCCGAGGTCATGCACTTCCATAATCAATCTCTATAGGTTGGGTTCTTCAGTGCATGCTGTTTGCACTTTTGAGGGAGGAAACATGGTATCCCTGTTTTACATCCGAGGCCATGCACTTCCATAACCAATCTCGATAGGTTGGGTTCTTCAGTGCATGCTGTTTGCACTTTTGAGGGAGGAAACATGGAAGTCCGCAGACTTACCGCTGTGGTCGCCTTTTTTTTTAAAGAAAATGTTCACTTTTTCTAATTTTTTTTTCAATCGGGTACGAATCCTACGACTAATACTTACTAGCACAAACAGTCGGCCGTTAGACAAACCATCAGATAATGGGCAATATGTTAAATAGAACAATAAATCAAGCTAGTGAACACACAGCATTATCTGTGTTGCCAATCACACACGAAGAGCTGCCATATTGTTATATATACACACCATTAAAAGTAACCTTCCATTCTGCTTGGTCTCGATGCCTAAAAAAATACGAATGCGCTGTTTGTCATTGCTTTTGGTAGGCCCAGCTTCCTTTGGGGGGGGGGGGGTCAGTGGAGCTTATGTTGGGGCCACCATACAGTGATACGATTTTTAAAGTGTTAGGAAGAATGAACTTATGTGGGTCAGAGTGAAATTTGGGGGTGTATGGACCTCCCCAACACCCTGGCGGTCTTGGGTTTTGAATATCGTAATGTAGACCTGAGAACTCATCTTCTGAATCAGAAGAAACTACATCTGAAAACGATTGTGGATAATATGATAAACATGTGGACAGAACTAACCCTACTTTACAAGCATCAGACAGTATCATCGATTGTATAGTCCAGAGCACGAAGAACTAGGCATCAGATCAACTGGCAGAAGGGTTGCCAGGTATGTTTTATGTCTGAAACGAAGAAACTTAACTATTAGTCCAATTGACGCCAGTATGCAGATGTTTCTAAATCAGCGTGTTATTATTCCTGATGGTGCAAGGTGTTGCCACAATCACATAAATATAAAATGTTTTTCTACAGTATTTATTCAACTGATTGGACGTCAGTTGAAAGACCACGCACGTATTCCGGTAGGGCTGATATTGCGAAGTTACTGGAAAGTAGCTGTACAGAAATTTGTAGTGGTAAACTCAGATCAGATACATAAAGTCGCAGATGATCATTTTAATCGTACAGATTACAAAGATCTCAGTTTGATGACTTGGCATCCAGGCTTCCATCTTTGATAAATATTCATGTGAGATCTATTCGTACATGCTTAGCTGTCCTATTGGTTTAAATTCGTACATGCTTAGCTGTCCTATTGGTTTAAATTCGTACTGGCTTATCAAACATTATTCTATTTAACTGTTTGGGGCGGAAAGGATCATTTGGCCCCACAGACAGCAGTCCACTTGCTTCGTGT